ATATGTCATCTCAAAGGTAACCTGAACCTACGGGCTCTATAGAGCTCCCATGAAAAAACAATATGTAATAATAACACAAGATGAGCCAAGCTTTTCTAAAACTTTTTCAACCATTTCATTAAAACCACTACTAAGATGTAAGTCTTTTTACATAATACATAACAGTGCATGACCTTCACACGTCGGTAAATACTGAAGTCTTCCTACCACACGCAATACTTCATGTGTATATATATATTTCGCACTCACACAGTGCTCCCACATTGTCATTTCATTACACACATACCAATAATTTCGTTTCAGATATATAATATTCCATCACATTACGACATCTGTCGTCCTTTGTCAATTACATAATTAATAATTAAATTGAAGAACTTGTATCGTTCACAACACACAACCCGCTCATCACACAGTCAAAGGCACTTATGTCTCAGTACTATATTCATTCTCTTCCACACTAAACCCTTTCACACTGTCCTTATGGGGAAGCCAGCCCGCCGCGACCCCTTACATTGCACGTAAATCCCATAAATCCCTCAACCTAAAACTCCGATAGCCCTCAGTAAAAGCAGTCTCCCAACTCCCTCCGTAAAATTTCCCTATTACGACACTTAGTTCTGTAAAATGTCGCAGCTAACACCTTTATCCTCTCATCCACGCCCACCTCCCTCATGGCCCATGACATATATATATAAAATCCGTGACCAAATACGCCACTGCATTCTCCACCATCTTACTCACCCCACCTATATCCAAACTTAAAGCCCGCAACACCTGCAATCCTCCCCCACCCACTAACCTGAACACCTTTCCTAACCAGACCCGCACAACTTCTATAGTCACAAAAATATACCACATGAAAAATTGTCTCCATACTTCTACACGCTCTACATTCCCTTCCCTCCCTTATCCTCCTGTTGAATAGGACAACCCCAAACGGCAAAATCCCATGCAAAAATCTAAACATTACCTCCCGAACACCTGGTTTTACACGTAATTGTTTTAGACGCGTCCATATTTCGCTCCACGCATACATAGGGTATGCTCCTTCAACAGCAGCCACCACTGACCTACCTTCCACTCCTTCAAGGACCCGCAATTTAACACACGACGGATCCCTCACTGTCATTAAAAACCTCAACATGGCCTCACCAACTATTAAATCCCTACCCCCCCACCACCGTTGCATATCCTTACGTACTCGCACAAGTCCACCTCCCCTCCCGCACCCCTCCCTTATATAACTTCGTTTTAGGTACACGCTCATCATCCTTTTTTCCAGAGGTATAAGTCCCAGCCTCCTCGACTGACCGGAAGTGTTAACACCGCTCTACTTAACCATTTGCAACCCGATCCCCATATAAACCTAAAAAACCCATGTTGTAAACGTTTTACCTCACGTCGCATCAGCGGGTACATGACAACCACATGCCATAACTTGCTGTACAATAGCATGTTCGTCACTATTACTCTTTGATGCAGCGTTAGTTGTGCCGCCCTCAAACCACCAAGTCTTTTCAATACTCCATCCACTATTCGCACCAAATTCACCTCTTGAGCCACCCGTGTATCTCTCACATAAACTATCCCACATATCAATAGTTGATCCACCACACTCCACCCACCCCCTACCACCTCATCCCCATGTGTACTATCCCTTAGGTCCAGATACTTAGTCTTCTCAACATTAATTTTCATCCCTGAAGGCTCCCTAAACACATCCACCACCTTACCCACCCTAAGCAAGTCCCTATTACCTCTCACCAAAACAGTCCTGTCATCCACATAACCTACGATACCAGCCCCCCCTCCCCCCGTTCATTACCCTCCCCACCTCCCGCAACACACCTCCGAATGGCCCTATAAAATGGATCCTGTATACACGCAAACAATATTTGCGATAGTGGGCAACCTTGGAGCATCTGTATTTTAACTTCTAGCCTCCCGTTAACCTGCACCCTCATCGACGCCCCCTGATACAATAATTTTGCCCAAGATATTATTTCTTCCCCAAAACCCTGCCAACGCATGAACCTCCATAATGCTTCCCTTTCCATGCTATCATAAGCAGCCTTCCAATCTAACGCCAATACGCCTCCATCACCCAACTCCCCCCGTCTCTCTATAAATTCTCGAATCATGCCATGCCCTTCATACACTGACCTTCCTGCACCCCATATTGCCCCCTATCAATTACCTTACCTATCATCCTCTTGATTCTGTTCCCTAATATTCTCACGAACAACTTATAATCTCCACACATAAGCGAGAGAGCCCGATAATCCATTACCGTTGACCGCTCCCCTTTTGGTACCAACACCACAACGGCCGTCCGTTGCTGCTCTCCCATTACCGCAGCCGCCTTAAGTATGTTAAACAACCTTACTAAAAAAAAAACTCAGAACTCCCCAGTTCTTTACATAAAAATCATTTGACAGCCCATCTATACCCGGCGCCTTTCCCAAGCTCACCCCTGACAACGCCTGCCAAATTTCACACTCCGTAATCGGCCCACCTAATGCCTCCCGATCTTGACCATCAAGCTCACACTGCACATACCTTCCCATTTTCCCTAATGCTACTTCACGGATGCCCAAGCTTTGCATATATGACTTAAACCAAGTGTCTACATATCCACTCATACCCTCTGCCGTTACCAATGCTTGACCCGCTCTATACCCTTCCATCCCTACACGTACGTTTAACCCCATCATCTCCATAGTCACTCCTCTTTCTCTGGCCCCTTAACACGCAAGACGACGGCCGATCACCCCATACCACTTCTTCCAATCCTCCCATAATTCACGCACCATCAAAACGCTCGTTTTGCAATACCCTAATACTCTCCTTTAAACCCTCAATGTCCTGCACTGGATAGCTTGCTCCTCCTCTTGCAGAACAGTCACGCACCTGCCCTTCAAGATATCTTTGAAACCCATACTTTAACCGGTTATATTCCCACACACGACAAATATAATATTCTCTGATGCGAGTTTTAACCACCGAATCCCACCAATTTACCAGAGCATCATCCCCCGGTGCCTCATCCACCAACCGTTCCCACAATTGCACAAAAGACTGACGACATTCCTCACCCTGCAACAGCTTCACATTTAACTTCCAATAACCTTGACCCCTTCTAGGCAATCCCTCCCATTCGAGGTCCACCAGTATTCCCTGTGATCCGAAAAAAACTGTATCCACCACACGCACTCTGCTCACTATTACTGTTCGGGGCACGTACAAGCGATCGAGCTTAGCCGCATATCCACGTCTAACAAAAGTATGTTCTACAGCCCCACCCCCCCAACGTCCATTAACCCCACCCCATTTAATAATTCCCCCAAAATCCCCGAACAATACCCTGCCCCTCTAGGTTCCACGTCCTTACGCCTTATCACACAATTCCAATCACCACCAATTACAGCTACACCCGGCAAAGCACGCAAATAATATACTAGAAGGATAAATAATATACTAGGACATCCTTCACAAATTTATTCTTAATACGCACATCTCCCTCTGCCGGACCATACACACACACCGAACTCATCTGTACCCTACCCCACCACCCATCCACACGAATCACCCACCCCTCCCCACCCTCACAATGCCTCACTACGAACGGGCTAGTTTCCCTTACCAGGATGGTTACTCCTCCTTTCAACCTTATCGCATGCTCCACATGCACATTATACCCATTCACCTTCAGCTCATAGCCTGGTCTGTAGTTGTGTTCCTGCACGAACGCCACATCAACACTCTTACGACCAATTTTCCCTCAATTTCTTTGACGCCCCTTAAAAACAATTCGCCTTGAACCACTGGTTTTTTTTCTGGGGAAACTTCGCCCCAACCGGCCCTATTTTTTCCCCCCAGGAATTTTACCAATTCCCCTTGGCCCCATCCTCCGGTAATTCCCCCCGGCCCCCCCTGGGCGGCGTGGACCCCGGAGTCGAAGCCAGCGCGCGCTTTCGTGCCGCTCCACCGCTTGCACTCAAGACATTCATATCACACTGCGCCGACCGCTTATCCTTTTTTCCATGCCTTCAACAACGGGCCCCAAGAACTAGGTCTGGATCCCAACCTGCCCAATACTCTTGTCATCCAATAACACTTTTTAAAGCCTTGCTAATGAGTCTTCCACATCGCTACAACTGCATTAGGGTTTTTTCTCTTCCAACCCCTGAGCTACGTTCAATAAAGGGGGTTTCCCTTTCCCCCTCTCACACCTGCGACTCCTCCCTCCCTTCTCTCGCCCTCCTCACTTCAGGCCCCACCTTGTTGGGCAGAGTCCATAAGGCAAATCTTGCCCTCATTTTTTCTTCTGCTACAGTCGTTCCCGTTTTCCATGTTGCTACGCTCCTTCCACCAGAGCCGCATATCATATACCCAACAACCGAAGGTCCGGCGTTCCCCAGGAAAATGCAAAAACACCGGGGTCCAAAAATTTGGGCAGCATACGTACGACGGAATAGGGTAACGTAACGTCACTTCACAGAATACTTTCCTTCGGGTATCCCTGCGTAGGGCCCCAGTAGCCCACCCCCCAAAACAGTGGCCTATTACTATACAATTTACCCACGCAAAAAAATGTTAGAATCATCCGCCTCGAAAGGCACATTTCTAATCTTAAACCAGTGAAATGGCGAAATAGTCGTTAAGTCGCACGGTCACAGCATATTTTAACTGCCAAAGTAACCTCCGGTACTTGTCCACCACCGCCTATACACCTTGCCAAGTTAAACTTGACAAATATCCTCGCCCGGGCCTTTTCAGGCTACTCCACATTCTCCTTGTTAGCAATAACATAGTATCTGTATGTTGCAGGTAGTAGCACTCCAAGAAGTTCCTGTCACAGCCCCGGATAAGCTAAAACCCCCGGTGTATTGACGTCCCCGGGCTGGCCTGCCCCCATGCTGTGAAAAAATAACTGCACTAATCAACCTAGGGGCAGCAGCACGCATCTCACCGCAAAAAGGGGTTGAGGAGAATGAAAAAATGTAAAAACCTTTCACGATTTTGCGTGTCATCCTTGCCAGGGCTCTCTAATCTTCTCGTATCGTCCCCAAATTTTGTAATGTAGCCGAAGCAAGTACGCAATTTGATATTTAATTTAGGTCTGTCGTCGGTATAACTACTGAGACCTAACACTCCAGGTACATGGTAAAAAGGTACACTGGGACAAAGGGACACGGTAAAAAAAGGTACATGGTAAAGGGGACACTGGATTTAGGACACTGGGTGAACATTGGATTACAACTAGTTTAGTGGGTTTAAAAGAATCAGGTTTTTTGGTAAATTTTTTAATGAGAAAAATATATTAGCGGATAAAAGTTGAAAAAAAAATAGGAATGCATTAAGAAAAGTAAGTTATTATGGACAGGAACCTGAACAGAAAATTTAAAAGACATATTAACTGATACTTTGAGTAAAATTTCCGAATGTTCTGGAAGGTTTCTACCACACCGTTACAATGAGGGATTCTTTTTTCCCTCTATTTCAAATTTGTTAGAAGTTGTAAAGAAGGTAATGAAAAATTTTTAATTTTTTTTAACGCCCCCATTACCTGTTCTTTGGCAGTTAAAGCTGAGGGCTACTATTAACTATCTTTTTAGTACTTTCCTCTGCTATCTGCAAAAAGTGGGCCTCCCCCCCCCCCCGCCCCATATGGGGGGTTTTGTGTGGGGGGGGGGGTGTTCCCCTCCCACTTGGCCTTCCCCCCCCCCTGGGGGAGACTGGGTGGTGACCTTCCTCCTCTCTCTGAAAACTTACCCTACTCCCCCTGTTGCTGTCCCTTGCAAAAATTGCACAGTCCTATGACACACTAAGAAGTGTTAAAGTACTTGAGCTAAAGATTTTTCCCCCCCCGTGGTTGTCTTTTATAAAATATACAATAATAAAAATATATATATATAATAAATATATATTATATATATATAATTTAATATATTATAATAAATAATAAAATATTTTAATATAAAAAAATTAAAAATTTTTAAATTATTCGTGCCAATACAGAACTTGGATCGGTTTAAATGCAACCTCATCTTCCATTAAAACAATGAAAAATTTTTTAGAATTTTGCCAAAAACAATTCTACCCAAGAAAAAAAAATATTTCCGTGTTTTTTATTTTAAATTTATTTTAAAACAAAAAAAAAATATATTTATTGGGTTAGGAAAAAATAAATTCCGTTAAATGGTTGGTTATTTTTCTAAAATTTTTTTGAAAAATTATAAATTTTTACATAAATTATAAAAAAAAATTCTTTTCCGTTAAGGAAAAATTTTGAAAGCTTTTTTAAGGTTTTCTAAACCTTTTTTTAAATTTTCCCCAAATAAAAAATAAAATTATAAAAAAATAATTATAAAAATTTTTTATAATTTTTATTAATTATGGCAATAAACACATAAACAGGGATTTCGGAATTAAAACCCATCGAAAAAAAAAAATTCCCAAGCTTTTTTTGACTATTTTCTTTTCAAAAATTTAAAGTAAACACCCAAGGGAAGTTATAAAAAAGGCCGACCTACTAAGATAAAAGGTTAAAACCCCCCGACGAGCCCGAAATTATAGTTTTTTTTTGCACAACTCACCCAAAACATTTTTAAAAAAAAAAAAAAAATTTAAAAAAATTTTTTCAGGTTTTATTAAAATTTTTCCCCCCTTTTTAAATATAAATGGATTTTTAAAAAACCCCCCCAAAAAAAAAGAATTTTAAAAAAATTTTTTTAAAAAGCTTTTCCCCCCTGGAAATTTTAAATACTTTTTCCCCCTTTTTAAAATCAATTGAAAAAAACCAAAAGCCCTTTGTAAATGGGAAAAAAAACGAAAACCTACCAAAAAACCCTATTTTTAAAAACCCCACCAACAAATTTTTTAATTTTTAATAAAATTTTTTTTTTAAAAAGGAAAAAAAAAAATAAAAAACCCCCCAGAAAAAATTAAATTTTTTTTAAAAAAAATAAAACCCCCCCATTTAAAAAAAAATTTTTTCCCCTTTAAAAAATACCCCCCCAAAAAAAATTTTTTTCAAAAACCTCCTTTTAACCCCCCCCCCAAGAAAACCCGGGAAATTTGCCCACCCCAAAAAAATAAAACCTAAAAAGAGAGGGCCCCCCCCCAAAAAATTTCAAATTAAAAAAAAAACATCCCCCCAATAACTTTAAAAACAACAACCCCCCAAAAAAAATTTAACCCCAAAAAAACACAAAAAAAAAATTCCAAAAAAAAATATTAAATTTTTTTGGGGTGATTTTAAAACTTATCCAATTTTGAAAAAAATTTGGGATGGTTAAAACTTTCAGAATAAAAAGAGCATTGGAACTTGTCCATTCAAATGCTATATTTATGTTGTTTAATCATTCGAGTTTTTTACCAGTTTGACCGTAATAAATTTTATCGCAAATTTTAAAGGGGAATCTTTAGAACATCCATCAGCTTTTTTGGGGGGGAATTTCTTTACAAAATTTTTTTTTCTGTAAAAGATTTTGAATAAAAATTAAAATATTAAAAGTCTTAAGAAGAGAAGGCTATCAACCAAGTTTTCATGGAAAAGGGAGAACTAAATTTTTTAGTTGAAAAGGCTGGTTGCCCCTTTTTTGGGATTGTAAAAAGTATTTCTAGAAATTTTTAAAAAGTTTTATAAATTACTTTTCTTGGGGTATTTTAAATCATTACCTTTTCTAAATTTTGGATATTTCCCATCATAACTCAGGCTACAAATTCGTAAAGCTCTCGGGAAACATTGATGGGAAAACAGACATTTTTTACTCTATCTTGATCGAGGAATAATAGGGACAAGAACATTATTTGTGGGTTTTCTGTAAATTTTAATTTTGTTTCATTTTTACCCTAAAAATTTAAAACATTAGAAAAGGCAATGATTATTTTCTTAAAAATCAACATAAATTTTATAGAAGGGGCTAAGCATTTAATTTTCCAAAGGGAAATGGGTATATCTACTTTTTTGGGGCATAAACCAAAACCATAAAAACAATTAAACCATTTGCTCTATTAGGGAGGATTGGTTAAGTAACCTTGTTTAAAAAAATTCCTGAAAGGGTTTTAAGAACGGGAAAGGATTTCCCATTGCCATACCAAAATTCTTGGGGTGTAAAAAATTTTTCATTAAATACAAATTTTGCATCAACAATGCAAAGTTTTAATAAGTTTAATGTAGAGGAACTGGCAATGGGAAATCATGAAAATAAGATTTTAAAAAACCCAAAAAGTAAGATAAATCTTTTAAATTGCAGAAAACTTTTACAATCTAAAAAAGGGACAACCACCTTTTTCAACTAAAATATTTTGGTTTTCCCCTTTCCATGAAAACTTGGTGATTGCCTTTTCTTTTTAAGACTTTTAATAATAAAATTGTTTTCAAAAATCTTTATACAGTAAAAAAAAACTTTTGTAAAGAAATTCCCCCCCAAAGCTGAATGTGTCTAAAGATTCCTTGTAAAATTTGCGATAAAGTTTATTTACCTTTAAACTGGTAAAACTCGAACTAGATTAAAACAACATAAATTAGCATTAGAACTGGCAAATTTCCAACTCTATTTATTCATTAAGAGATTTTTAAACCCTCCAAATTTATTTTCAAAAAGTTGGAAATAGTATCAAGCAAGTCCAGGCGAAGGAAAAAATTAATTTGTTTCAAAAAAGGGGTTTTTGACAATAATATAATATTTTCCTTTTGGTTTATATAAATAACCCTTTTTAAAATTAATAAAATTTTTGGGAAAATTTAAAAAATACACGGGATAAATAATTTTTAAAATTTTTTTGGGGTAAAATTTTGGGTGAGTGTGCAAAGGCCTATAAAATTTGGGGGTCGGGCGCGTAGGTGTTTAACCGTTGTGGATCTGATTGGGTGGGCCACCCCCCTTTAAAAGCTCCTTGGATTTTTCCTTTCATGTTCCTTGATATGTAGTAGTCACGAAAGCGTTTGGAATTTCTCTTTTTTTTTTCAGAGTGGTTGTTTTGCATATAAATTTTATATATATAATTATATATATATATATATTTATATATATATATATATATTAAAAATATATATTTATAAAAAAAAAATATATATATAAAAAAAAATTTATATATAATATAATTATATAAATATATATAAAATAAATAAATATATAAAAATAATTAATATTATATATAAAATTTTAAAAACGCGCCGAATAGGTAAAACTTTAGATTTTTTTTTAAATAGCAAGCTCTTTTTAAAACCGAATAAGGAAAGCAAAAATTTGTGATGAATAATTTCGCAAAAAAATTTTTGAATCTACCGAAAAAATACATTTCTTTGCCTTTTTTTATTAAATTATTGTAAACTTATCTAAAATATTTTAGTTGGTTTAGGCTAAATTTTGCACTTATTTAAAAGGGTTTTGGAAGTTTTCCAAGGCTCTTTTTGGGTACAAAATTTTAAATTTTTTTACATTAACATAAAGAAAAAGAATAATTTTTAAAATTAAAAAGAAAAAATTTTTAAAAAAGGGACTTAATTTTAAATGAGTTTTTTCAAATATATAGGGAGGATAGCCTTAGGACTTTCTTGTTTAACCGCACTACTCAAAAACTTGGAATGTTACATAAATGAGGGGAAATGCATAGAAGTTCACGCTACGACTAAAAGAAAGAAGAAAAATCAAGTTAACCTTTTCCAGTGACAGAAAGTGAAGACAAATAATAAAATTGTAGCAGTAAAAAGCATAAGTAAACCCATCAGCATTAAATTTATAATGACCTGCAACACGGCATTAGCGGTTGACAAGCCCCCCAACATGCTGTCAAATGTTAAAAAACAAAATTCTGATCTCAAAGATATCGGGAATCTCTCAGTGGGGTGAGAAAAGCAGTTTCATGAGGTTGATGCTTCATTTTCGGTGAAGTACAAGCCTTTCAGTGAGGTGTGATCTCAGTTCTGGTAAAGGATACAAGCAGCATCATGAGGTGTGAGCTTCATTTTTCTGGTGCGAGAAAAAGCAGTTCATAGGTGTGATGCTTCATTTTTGGGTGCGAGAACAAGCACTTCTGAGAAGGTGCGAGTTTCGTTAAAAACCTTACTATTGGGATTTTCTTTTTGACA